AGCAGGGTGACAATAAACAGCCTTGACGTACTCCTTTTCCTATTTGGAACCAGTCTGTTGTTCGATATCCAGTTCTAACTGTTGCTTGCTGACCTGCATACAGGTTTCTCAAGAGGCAGGTCAGATCGTCTGGTATTCCCATCTCCTTCAGAATTTTCCACAGTTTATTGTGATCCACACAGTCAAAGGCTTTGGCATAGTTAATAAAGCAGAAATAGATGTTTTTCTGAAACTCTCTTGCCTTTTTGATGATCCAGCGGATATTGGCAATTTGATCTCTGGTTCCTCTGCCTTTTCTAAAACCAGCTTGAACATTTGGAAGTTCATGGTTCACGTATTGCTGAAGCCTGGCATGGAGAATTTTGAGCATTACTTTACTAGCTTGCGAGATGAGTGCAATTGTGCAGTAGTTTGAGCATTCTTTGGCATTGCCTTTCTTTGGGATTGGACACATGCATTTTTACCAGGTTCATGTAATTTTATCAAAGGGCCTCATTTTCCCCAGTAAGATGTTCCCAAGAAATAGCAGCTCTAGAGCAATTATGCTGCACTGAGTATTTTATATGCATTAGCCAACTTATCCATCACAACAACCTAATATTCTAGCTAATTTTAGTCATGTTTTACAGATGAGAAAATGAATTGATTAGAGAAATTAAGTAACGATCCAGAGGTCATAAGAACCAAGACCTGAGCCCAGGCTTGACTTCAGAGCCTTAATGTTTCTCTTTACTGCCTGAAAAGATAAACCCTCATCCGGAGACAGAGACTGAGCTAATACACAGCATACTGCCACACTTCCTGACACATGCTCATTTGTGACAAATCCAGAAGTGGTAATGCCTTGGCCAAGTTGTTAACCTCTCTGTGCCTGGTCTCCTTATCTGTAAAATAGAAATAATAATAGTAGCTAGGTAATCAAGAGTTATTGTGAGGCTTATGAGATAAGGCATGTAACCTGAACTGACTTAATGTCTAAGTTCTCAGCTACCACCTATTAGTGAGGTGTGGTGCCCTCTATATCCCACTCTCTGTAGTTAAGGTAATTTTATCACAGCCCACAGTTAGGGGGCTTCCTAACTGTGGCTCAGACAGTATTAAGAATCTGCACTGCTGGAGACCCAAATTTGATCTCTGAGTCAGGAAGATCTCCTGGAGAAAAGAATGGCTACCCATTCCAGTATTCTTGCCTGGAGAATTCCATGAACAGAGGAGGCTACAGTTAATTGGGTCACAAAGAGTCAGACATGACTGAGTGACTAACAGTGCATTTGGATAAGGTCAATTTGATATACTTCATGGACTGCCAACCTTATTAATCCCTTCCTGCAATTATCTGCATAATCATAAGTCATAAGGCACATTTCCTAGCATTTTGTCTTATTTAATTATACCAAAACCCTTGATATGGGCAAATGGGGACTGAAGGCCTGTCAAGTGACTTGGTCACAGCCATACTTCCAGCCTATTTGTCCCATACACATCTGGGTTGACACCTGCCTTTATTATTCTCTATATGCTCACTCATTTTAGTTGTGTCCTGAGAAGGTCACATTTAGGATGGTGACTGTGCTGCTGAGGTGTTCATCTGGCATTATCCATGCCTCTTCTACTTCCGTACATGAGGCTAAATTTGGGTTTTCAGCTCAATTCAGTTGCCCTGTTTGGCTGACCACATGTTAGCAATTCTGTTGCTCCTCTGATAGAGAGAGCAGAAAGCACATAGTTGGGGAGGAAGAAACACTGGATTAGGAGTCAGAGGAACTGGTATCTAGACCTGGTTCTGGCACTCCGCAGCTGTGTATGTGGCTTTGGACATGTCACTTACTTCCTCTGGGCTTCAGTTTGCTGAAGTATAAGTAAAGACCAGATGGATACAGTGAAAGACAGTGCTGAGGCAGAAAGAATAATCCCTCCTTTTCCCTCCAAAAACTTTGTTTCCTAGTTCTTTAGTCACACCTGGATTTAGCTCTCCTGCAGAAAGAAGAAGAAAGGAATTTATCTTCTCCTTCTCTCACTATGTCCCTCTTTCTATGGAACAGAGGGGCTGTTCCATGGACGGGCCCAATGCATCAGGAAAATAGCAGATATGTTTTTAAAAAGTATGGACAGAAAGTGGAGGCAAAGCCATTGTATAAATTAACAGAAGTTCTAAGATCTGAATAAGAAGTCAATAATAAATCGAACCTGCGTCTCTTAAGTCTCCTGCACTGGCAGGCATGTTCTTTACCACTAGTACCACTGGGGAAGCCCAATAATTCTGAAGTAAATAGGAATAATAAGGAGTAAATGACAATGGGATAAAGGTCTTGTTTTAATGCTTAAAGTAGTGGTTCTCAACTGGGGATGCCCACCCCCAGGGGATACTTGGCAATACCTGGAGACATTTTTGGTTGGTGCAACTGGCTAGGGATGAGGACTAGGGCAGTCAGCTACTGGTATCTAGTGGGTTGAGGCCAAGGATGCTACTAAACAGCCTGCAGCGCACTGGACAGCCGCTCACAGCAAAGAATTATCTCCCTGTATTAGCTCTCTAGTGCTGCTGTAACAAATACCATAGTCCGATTGGCTTAAACAACACAAATGTACTTTCTCACACTTGTAGGTTTGAAGTCTAAGATCAAAGGGGTTTTTTTTTTTTTTGGTGCGGGGGTTGGGGGGCAGGGGATAGGGACTAGGGACTGGGATTTGGTTTCTTCTAAGGTCTCTCTCCTTGACTTGCAAATGACTGCCTTCTCCCTGTGTCCTCACATGATCTTCCCTCTATGTATATATCTTAATCTCCTCTTCTAATAAAGATACCAGTCATTGGTCCAGTGGCTAACACTTCGTACTCCCAGTGCAAAAGACCCAGGTTCAATCCGTGGTTGGAGAACTAAGATCCAACATGCCACAACTAAAGACCTGACCCAGCTAAATAAATAATTTTTAAAAAAATGATACCAGTCATATTGGATTGGACCCACCTTAATGACCTTATTTTAATTTAACTACATCTTTAAAGACTTATTTGGGCTTCCCAGGTGGCACTAGTGGTAAAGAACCCACCTGCCAATGCAGAAGACATAAGAGACGTGGGTTCAGTCCCTGGTCAGGAGGATTTCCTAGAGGAGGGCATGGCAACCCACTCCAGGATCCTTGCCTGGAGAATCCCATGGACAGAGGAGCCTGGCAGGCTGCAGTCCATAGGGTCACACAGAGTCAGACACAACTGAAGTGACTTAGCACACAAAGAACTATTTATGTCCAAATGGGATAACTCACATTATAAGGTACTGGAGGTTAAGACTTCAATATGACTTTTGGAGAGATACAATTCAGCCTTTAATATAGCCCCAAAAGTCAATAGTGCTGAGAGCAAAGACACCCTGCAAAACATTGGAGATAACTGGTAAATATTCAAGTAGGATGGTAAACTTTTTGTTAAAATGAAAGACTTTTTAAATTTCTCTAATGGCTGAGCTTGAAATTCCTCCTTTGATGTATTTTTGATGCCTCCTCTGTTGATGTTACTACCACTCTGTCTTCTCTTTAGACTGGAGCCCATCGGTGCAGCTGCCAGTAAGGAGTACTCCCTGGAGAAAAACTTGGAGAAAATGAAGTTAGACTGGGTTAACATGACGTTCAACTTTGTGAAGTACAGGGACACTGTGAGTCTCAGTCCAACAGTTCAGCCCCCTGAGAGCAGCCCATTTATTATGTAGTAAATTACAGAAGGGATTCATTTCAAAATTGCAAGAGAATTCAAGGAAGAAGAATCTCTAATCTGTCTTAAAATTTTTTATTGATACATAATTGACATATAACACTTGTAAGTTTAAAGTATACAATGTGTTGATTTAATACTTTTACATATTGCACTGATTACCATCCAATATGATTACCATTAACACCCCTATCATGTCACATGCCTATCCTTTCCTTTTTGTGGTAGGATAATTAAGGTCTAATCTTAGCAGCTTTGAAGTTTTTAATACAGTATTGTTGTCTATAACCACTATGCTGTTGCATTAGATTGTTTCTCCTGTCTGCCTTCCTGTGCCAGTCAGCCTTCATTCCAGACACCATGGAGGGATGCATTTTCAAATGAGAAAGACCTTTTAATTCAGAGCAACAAGCTTTCTGTTGAAAAGGAGCTGAACAGCCTCCTGAATTAGCATCTCCCAGGGAAGGCACCCCAGTTCCCTCAGAAATATAACTGAGGTAGACAGTGGTCAGCCATGCTCAAGTGTTATTAAGTGCAGGAATCACCTGAGAATCTTTCTAAAGTGCAGGTTCTGATCCAGCAAGTTTAAGCTGGGTCCCGAGGTTCTGCAATTCCAGCAGGCCAAGTAATTCCCAAGTAATACTGAAGCTGTGGTCTCTGGACCACATTTTGAAGAGCAAAGCTGTACACTTTCTTTTCACTGGCACTTCTAGAAAATATGTAAGTTCATAGAGTGCATAAACCTGAAGGGTTTGCTCAGCCATCTTCAGAGGCTGGCTTGCTCCTGGGGTGAGCCATGGGAAGGAGGGCTTGCTGTTTAGGTGAGGCAACAGGCAGAAACCTCATATACTGCAGGCCATCAGCTCTTTAAGCAGTGCTTCTCAACCCTGATACTCTTTCTGGTCACTCAATTCCAATGTGCATGTGTTGGGAGTGGCTGGGGAGGGTTCCCACACTACCATGCAGTATGTGACACCAGCTGGGTGCCTTACAATTCAATTCAATTGTAAGTAGACACTATCTACCCAGAGATTCCATAGGTTAAGACTACAAGAGTGTCAATTCCCCTCACCCCCGACTTCAGATGCCAGTCTCAAGCCCAGGTTATCGTGCTTCTGACCGACCAGCTATAGATTGGAGGTCCCTCCTTGGGTTCATTTAATTTGTTAGAACTCAGAGATAGTTTACTTAATAGTTTACTGGATTATTATAAAAGGATATAGGACCCAGAAACAGCTAGATGGAATAACTTGGGCAAGGTAGGGGGAAGTGGTGTGGCACTTCCGTGCTCTTTCTGAGCATGCCACTCACCCAAATCTCATGTTCATCAACTCAGAAGCTCTCTGACCCCTCTCCTTTTGAGTTTTTATAAGGCTTCATTACTTTGGCATAATTGACTAAATCATTGGCCATTGGTAATTGAACTCAGTCTCCATCCCCATTCCCCTGCCAGGAGACAAGTTGGTGGACTAAAAGTTCCAACCCTCACAGGGCTGGAACTCTCCTGACAACCAACTCCTCACCTTAGATGTGGTACAAAAGCCACCTCATTAAGAAAACAAAATCTCTGTCATCCCTTAGGAAATTCCAAGGGTTTCAGGAGCTGTGCCAACAACAGGGACAGAGGCCAAATATCTGCCTTACTATAAATCACAGCATCACTCTGGCCTGGGATTCTGTATTTTTAAGGCACCCCTGACTTTTCTAAAGTGCAGTGTGGGTTGAGAACTAAAACCCTAAAGGCTGTCATACTTCCCCCTCTCCAGGCTGCATGTCATCCTTTGTGACTTCTTTTCCTCTTTCTCTCAATGCCTTGATTTCACTTGAAGAGCAACTGTAGACAAGTCAATGGAAGGGAGGAGAACTGGGGGCCTCTCCCAGCAAGACCAGGCCAAAAGGTGTTGTGATCTGATTGGATTAGATAGAGGCTTTTGGGCTGAGTTGAGGAGTTAAGTTGAGGAACCTGACAACAGCTCAGTTACTTCTGGCCAGTCTTCAGAGTTTTTTGATTGAATATAGACAATGGTCAACAGCAAAATGAGAATCATGGTACCACTTTATTAAATAGCTGGATGCACCTCCCACTACAGAGCTACTGGTAAAAGGTGGATCTGAGAATATATTCTAGCTCCAAATTAGCCACCCAGATGTAAGCCTGAAGGAAGTGAAAACAGAGTAAGAAAGACCAGACCTACCACAGGGGAACAGCCCCTATCAGCTTGCTTGCCACATGGCCCAAGAAGAAAAGTCCATGTACAAGGGCTAACTTTTAAGACATAGTAACCCTAACTACTAGTAAAATATGCCAAATAATTATTTAGTCAGAGGTTCCCAAACTTTCTTGGTTCATGGTGTTGTTGGTATCTGAGTACTTTTAAAATGATTCCCTTCCCCAGTCCAAAAGAAATACTTAACAGCTTTGCTTATGAGGTAACTGAGTTCAGACAACTTAAATATTTGTGGCCCATCAACTTAATAACTGGAAAAAAGTACATATAAATTAAAAGAAAATATTTGTATTTTATTGAAAGTAACTGAAGTTGTTTGCTGTAGTGCCCTGGGGCACATGGTTTGGGAATCAAACCTAATCTAAGCAGATTAGCAGTTGATTCTACCTGAGGGAGCCAGGAAAACAAGTAAAATAAAATCAGAAACACAGAGAAGAGGACAGAACTTTTTCTCCCCCAGACAGCTGATACTAGTTGCATATCTAATTTTGGACCATATTTGATTTTTGCAAAGGAGGTAGAAAAGTCTTTAAGAATATTTTCAAAGTAGAAAATAGAAAACTGTCTCTCCTATAAGACATTGTGTCCCAGAGAGGTGGAGATGTGAGCTGTGAGTCCTTTGGGGATCAGTATGAAAAGTTGTGGGAAAGAGGTCTTGTGATTTTAACAGGGTGGGTCATTTTTATTTGCAGGATACAAGCATCTTGTGTGCAGTTGATGACATTCAACTATTACTTGATGATCACGTGATAAAAACCCAGACCATGTGTGGCTCTCCATTTGTCAAACCAATAGAAACTGAATGCCGGGTAAGAGGAAATGAGATTGAATGTTTTGTGATGGCCCATTAGCTCTGGGTTTCTTGGAGGAGCCGAACGTTTTTGTTTTGTTTTTACTTTTTGACCATACCACGAGGCATGTAGAATGTTAGCTCCCCAACCAGGGATCTAACCCATGCCCCCTGTAGTGGAAGCATGGAGTCTTAACCACTGGACTGCAAGGAAGTCCTAAAAGATTTTTAAGTTCAATTAAAAAGAAAACCCACTTTCTCTTGATAAAAAGCAGCAACAAAAGACTGAAAGTGTTAGTCACTCAATCGTGTCCGATTCGTGATCCCATGGACTGTAGCCCAACCAGGCTCCTCTGTCCATGGAATTTTCTAGGCAAGAATACTGGAGTGAGTTGCCATTTCCTTCTCCAGGGGATATTCCCCACCCAGGGATTGAACCTGGGTCTCCCATGTTGTAGCCAGACTCTTTACCAAGTAAGCCACCAGGGAAGCTTATAAAGACTGAAAGCAATAACCAAGTAAGCCTTTGTAACATTCTGGCAGTCTTAGCTTTTGCAACAGTCTGCTAAAAGAGAAGATAAGTGTTTTGAGTGCACCAAACAAAAATACTTTTGGAAGGTATCTTATCGGTTTTTGAAATCTAGAATGTATACCACTGGAGGTTAGCCTCCTTGATCACTGTTTATAGAAGTGGAATAGGCTAAGGACATAGCCTCGAGTCAAACTGTCTGTGTTCAAATTCTGACTCTGTCCCTTATTGGTTGTGTGACTTTGGACCAGTTACTTGAATATGTCAGTTTCTGCATCTGTAAAGGAAGTTTTATAATAATGTCTCCTTCGTGAATCTGTTGGATTAAATTGGTTTTCACATACATAAAGCCCTTGGACCATCATTTGGCACAGAGTAAGCCTTTAAACTATTATCGTTGTTGTTTTTTAAGATGACCCTGAAAATTGGGATTTTTTTTTATTCCTTTTTATGCTTTTTTTTATTATTATTATTCCTTTTTAGACTTTATAAAAAATTATTCCTTGTTTTTTTTATTATTCTTTTTATTATTCCTGTTTTTTAAAATTATTCCTTAATAAGTTAAGGTGAACCTTAACTTTTTAACTATCTCTTTCAGGATGCTTTCCAGTGTAAATTTTTTAACAAGCTTGTAGCAGAGCTGATGCTTTCAGTTAATTGGCAGCATTGTTGTTGTTGTGATTATTCCACTAGGAACTCTGTAAGGATAAGGAATCTTGTTTTCTCTTTCATTGCTGTATCCACTTTGCCTAGAAGAGTGACCAGGACATAGGGGTCACTCAGTAAGTATTTGTGGAACAAATGAATGACTGAATAAGTTAATGAATGCATCCATTTGTTTAACCAGTGGGTCTGTGATGCATAGTGGCGTGTTAATGATTCTGATGTGAAATGCTAAATTTGCAGAAATGGGAAGAAAAGCTAGTTCGTGTGCAGGAAATTTTGGATGCCTGGTTAAAGTGCCAAGTCACTTGGCTGTACCTGGAACCAATCTTCAGTTCAGAGGACATCATAGCCCAGATGCCAGAAGAGGGCAGGAAATTTGCCATCGTTGATAATTACTGGAAATCACTTATGTCCCAAGCTGTGAGTTTTCACTCCCTAGCACATCTCACCATTGGGAATGTGGGATGCCATGTAGATGTTCCTCATTATACAATCCTACCATGTCCCTTGAAATCTAGAAGTAAACTGGGTTTTACCTAAGCTGATTTTTGCAAATTCATTATCTTTATAATTTTTAAATTTCTGGTTGTTTGTTATTAAAAATTCAAACATGGGAATAGGAAATATTAAAATTAGTGACCTTTTGAAGTCCCGACTTCGTAGAGTTAACTGTTTAAATTTGGATAATTTAGCTCCCATTCCTCATGAGATATAAGACTTTATTTGTTACAGGATAATGTAATAAAACTTATAAATCAAGAATAATTTTAGAATTCAAATAATTCGCTATATTCAGTTACTCAGTTATTTAACAAATGTTCAAGGGGCCAGAGCAGACTAGTATAGAATATCATGGTCTGAATTCCACAACCCCAGTAATAAAAATATAATTGTCTTTGTTGCTTTTAGGTGCTCAACCCCACCCCATTTAGTCATGACCAGAGCAAAAGGGTATTGTTGCAAGCGGTCACCCTTGTGGGATTAGGAGGTGATTAGGCCAGGAGGGTCATTAATTGATGCACTAGTACACTCATTACAGTAATCAGTCTCAGAATCTGGGAACCCCTTGATAATTATCACCTTTTTATGGAACCCAGGTGAAAGATACCAGGGTTCTGATGGCAGCGGACCAGCCACGGATGGCTGAGAGACTTCAAGAAGCCAACCTTCTGTTGGAGGACATCCAGAAAGGGCTGAATGATTACTTGGAGAAGAAGAGACTATTTTTCCCCAGGTATCTAATATTCTCTTGTTTGAATTTGCCCTCTTGACCCATATATTGGTAGAATTACATTCTTTTTATACTGAGAGTTGGCTTCTACTCATCTATTCCATGAGCTTCTTTGATGGCTCAGTAGGTAAAGAATCCACCTGCATTGTGGAGACCTGGGTTCAATCTCTGGGTTGGGAAGATCTCCTGGAGGAGGGCATGGCAATTCACTTCAGTATTCTTGCCTGGAGAATTCCCATGGACAGAGGAACCTGCCTGGCTACCATCCACAGTGTCGCAAAGAGTTGGATACAACTGAGCGACTAAGCACACACACACATCTATTTCATATTCTCTAGAGGTTGTCCATTCCCCAGGAGACAGCTCTCAGGGGTAAGGCATGTCTTCATAGTCACTATTTAAAGTGAGGTTGAATGGACACCAGGATTCCCTGGTGGCTCAGATGGTAAAGCATCTGCCTGCAACGTGGGAGACCTGGGTTCGCTCCCCAGGTTGGGAAGATCCCCTGGAGAAGGAAATGGCAACCCACTCCAGTAGTCTTGGATAGAAAATTTCATGGATGGAGGAACCTGGTGCACTACAGTCCATGGGGTCGCAAAGAGTTGGACATGACTGAGCAACTTCAGTTTTGAATGGATACCAGTGGAGCCGTTATGGTCATACACCCAACTAGGGGGATATAGTACTCAAAAGCCTGGACTTTGGAGTTAAGCAGACCTCAGTTTGAGTCATTAGCCACATATGGCTATCCAGCACTTGAAATGTGGCTAGTGTAACTTAGACAGTAAAATTTTAGTTTATTTAGTATTAATTTTTTGAAGGTAAATAGCCACATTTGGCTAAGGGCTTTAGTGTTGAATAACACAAATATAGCACAGATAGTGAAAAAAACCTTGACTTGGAAGCACAAAACTTTGTTAAGAGGAAACCTCTGAAATACGAGCTTCCAATCATATACCTATAATGTTTTTCCTAATAAAAATATGAATAATAGCCAACATTAATACAGTATTTACCATATGCCTCGTCACCACTTTAAGTGCTTACACATATTACCTGATGTAGCCCTTACAATAATCCTGTGAAGTTGCTAACATTGTTTTTATCCCAATTTTACAAATGAGGAAACAAAACTTGCTGAAAAGCATAAGACTGGTAAATGGACAAATTCAAGTAGTCTGGATAAGACACTCAGTTATTTAAATTCTCTGAGCTTCATCTTCTCCCTAAGTTAATTAACTACATACACAAAGTATCAGTATTTCTTTGTGTATTTTTATGGAATAAAAGTAAGCACTCTCAGAAAAGACTTTGAAAATGTCCTTGATAGTCACATGTTTTAAATGAATTTTATCTTGAAAATACAGAGTGCTAAATAATATTTTTAGTTTTAAATTATACAAATATACTAATTATTACTCTTATGGCCATTGAGTCTTATTCATTATCACACATGATGAATNTTTTATCTTGAAAATACAGAGTGCTAAATAATATTTTTAGTTTTAAATTATACAAATATACTAATTATTACTCTTATGGCCATTGAGTCTTATTCATTATCACACATGATGAATCCATAGAGATCACTTATTTGAATTTCACTTGGGAGTGGGAGAAAATTGGCATCCTAATTAGATAACAGTTAGTAAACCAGCCAACAAATAATTATTGAGTTATTCCAATCCATTCAGGGGCTTTCCTGGTAGCTCAGACGGTAAAGCATCTGCCTACAATGTAGGAGATCCAGGTTCGATCCCTGGGTCAGGAAGATCCCCTGGAGAAGGAAATGGCAACCGACTCAAGTACTCTTGCCTGGAAAATCCCATGGACCGAGGAGCCTGGTAGGCTCTAGTCCATGGGGTTGCAAAGAGTTGGACATGACTGAGTGACTTCAATCAATTCAATTATCCATTCAATATTACAGTTACAGTGTGTTAATTTGCTTTGCTGTGTAACAAGCACCTCCAAACTTAGAAGTTTAAAACAGCAACTGTTTACTGAGCTCACAATTCTGTGTGTTGGAAAACTAGGTAGAGCTCAGCTGGGTAGTTCCTCTGGCCTCATCAGGGCTCACTCATGTTGACCACAGTCAACTGGCAGTCCATGGCCTCAATCATTTGTCTGGTAGTTAGCTTCCTGTTGGCCAGGGCAGCAAGGATAATTGGGCCAAATGTCTTTCAACCTCCAGAAGGCTAGCCTGGGTTTATTCATATGGTGATGGTTGCAGTGTTCCCATGAGCGGCAAGAGTTGAAACTTCAAGGCCTCTTGATGTCTAAGCTTGAAACTAGTGCAAATTCACATCTTCCAAAATCTATTGGCCAAAGCAGGACTCAGCCAGCCAAGTTTCAAGAGATGTGAAAACAGACTTCACCTCTTGAACAAAGAAGTTACAAATATTGTGGCCTTTTTGTAGATAGTGAAGGACAGAAAAGCCTGGTATGCTGCAGCCCATGGGGTCACAAAGGGTTGGACATGACGTAGCAACTGAACAATAATACATACAGTGAAAACTGTCATTATATGACCTTTCCATTACTGAATTTAAAACCTAGTGGTTACTGTAGAGGTTTATCCCTAGCACATTTTCTGAAAGTTTGCTGTCCCTGCCTTTAAGGTCTAAGCAAGAGAGTGAGGCTATCTTATTATCTCTAATATAAAACATGATAAAGCCCTCTGCACATAAGTAGGCTCATTATTAATGTGCACTTATTTTCCACCTGTAACATTTTCTGAGAATAAGGAAAGATAAGGAAGTTTTCTATCCTCCTGCCTAGTAGTTCTCAACACTGATTGCACATTAGAATCAGCAGGGATTTTTAAAAATATAAGATCCCAGATCAGTATTGGAATCTCTGGGCAGTGGAACCTTGACATTGAAACTTTTTTTTCCCTAAGCTCTGTAGATGATTCTAAACTGTAGACAAGGTTAAGAGCCACTGCTCTGTTGAGATGTCTTTCAACTGATACCAACTCCTCACACATAGCCATATAAAACCCACATATACCAGTTTTCATCTTTTTTTTTTTTTTGCTCTGAGTCAAAACGGTCTCCAATCTCTATGCCCTAGATGAAAAATGGTGAAGGGGAGTTGGCCTTGGATAAGGCCCTAGAAGTAGCTGGTGTTCACTAGAGTGTCGTCTACCTGTTGGGGATTGAAAGTTTGCTGTCCCTGCCTTTAAGGTCTAAGCAAGAGAGTGAGGCTATCTTATTATCTCTAATATAAAACATGATAAAGCCCTCTGCACATAAATAGGCTCATTATTAATGTGCACTTATTTTCCACCTGTAACATTTTCTGAGAATAGGGAAAGATAAGGAAGTTTTCTATCCTCCTGCCTAGTAGTTCTCAACACTGATTGCACATTAGAATCAGCAGGGATTTTTAAAAATATAAGATCCCAGATCAGTATTGGAATCTCTGGGCAGTGGAACCTTGACATTGAAACTTTTTTTTCCCTAAGCTCTGTAGATGATTCTAAACTGTAGACAAGGTTAAGAGCCACTGCTCTGTTGAGATGTCTTTCAACTGATACCAACTCCTCACACATAGCCATATAAAACCCACATATACCAGTTTTCATCTTTTTTTTTTTTTTGCTCTGAGTCAAAACGGTCTCCAATCTCTATGCCCTAGATGAAAAATGGTGAAGGGGAGTTGGCCTTGGATAAGGCCCTAGAAGTAGCTGGTGTTCACTAGAGTGTCGTCTACCTGTTGGGGAGTATCATTTTTGTTGGGAATTTGTTGGGAAGCTCTTAGAAGAGATTCCAGTGGCCATCTTGCTTTGCTTTGAAATAGGTTCTTCTTCCTATCAAATGATGAGCTGCTGGAGATATTGTCAGAGACAAAGGACCCTCTCCGGGTGCAGCCACACTTGAAGAAGTGCTTTGAAGGAATTGCCAAGCTGGAGTTTACAGACAGTCTGGAGATTGTGGGCATGATCAGCTCAGAAAAAGAAATCGTTCCATTCAAACAGAAAATCTACCCAGTTCAAGCCAAAGTAATTCCATTTACCCATTTTTTATTTCTTTTCTTTATAACAGCAAAACAGAGAGAAGCAGATTATATGTTGGTTAAGCATTTAGACTCTGGTTTCAGACTGAGTGTGGAACATTTAGATCCCACAGCTTGATGATGGGGTAACTTTGGGGCTTCCCTGATGGTTCAGCAGATAATGAATCTGCCAGCAATACAAGAGACACAGGAGATGTGGGTTCGATCCCTGGATCAGGAAGATCCTCTGGAGAAGGAAATGGCAACCAATCCAGTATTCTTGCCTGAAAAATCCCCTGGGCAGAGGAGCCTGGCGGGCTACAGGCCAATGGGTCACAGAGTCAGATTTGACTGAGTGACTAAGCACACAGCACAGCAGACTTTGGGGAACTAATCTTTCTGAGTATGCTTGTTCATCTCTAAGATGGAGATTATACTGCAATTCAGATGGCACCCTAAATTTGTGGAAACATTTCAACAAAGCTTGATGTGGAGACAGTAGCAGGAGCCAGATCCAAACAACCAATAGTGTTTAAATCCCCATGAGCAGATCCAAATTCAAAGAGATCCAATCAGATCAATAAACTGTTCAGTAGGGGTAGGTGTTTTTAAAGGTCAATAATACATCATGGATTTAATGCCATTTAACTTACATTTTTTATACATGTGCCCTTATATAACGAGCAAAATGGTAGTTACTTCCACTCTTGCTGAACTTGACAGCACCTCACAGTAGAAATAGACTAGCATTCTTGGCCTTGCTTGGTAGACCATTTTTGCCACCCACACATTTAAGTTTCAGCAACTAGGAATCACACCTTAGAACCAAACACCAGCTAGCTTCCAAGCACTTGAAGTCAGCAGGTAGAGTTACTTGAAATTCTAACACTGAATAATATGCTGCACATTCTAATTACTTGTAGAGATTTAAAAAAATCCATATGCCCTGGTTGTGTCCCATACCAATCAAATCAGAATGTCTGGGAGTGGGGTTCAGGAATCCATAATTTTTAAAGAACTCCAGATGATTCCAGTGCTCAGCAAAGTTTGAGGACTGCTGGAATAATGCAAGAATTAAAACTGTTCAATTAGAAATGAACAATTTATTTTATGAACTTGTCAACTAAGAAAAATGTACCACCTAAAAGTTGAGTTCTGTTTTATTCACCGTACATTCTCAGGATGTCAAGTTAGGGAGACAGCACCTCAAGTAAGCCTGAGAAAACTGCTGGAGGTTGGAGGGGAGCCAAGAGATTTAGGAGTTTTGCAACTTCTGAATGTCAAAAGATTATTGTTAATGAAAGAAAACCAGATATCACAAGTTAAGGAATTTAGTGCTTTTCTATGTATGAGAAGATGCAAGAGTCTGTGCTCACTGAAATCAGTCCTTTGATATCCACCTCAGCTGTCTGGGGCCAGTATCCTGTGTTTTCACATCCTGAGTTTCCTCAAGCTGCACCCTTGGAGGTGACTACAGCTTATTATTCAGGTATTCTCTGCCTCCTTCCTGAGTTCCCTCAGGACTCACCTTCAGGGGACACGGGGTGGCTGCAATTGCTAGTGGCTGCAACTTCTTTTGTTTAGTGACGTGACAGGCAATATCTTATTTCTCAGTCTGAAGTATAAATGTGTCAGTTGTCTCCTAAGAAGTTGTCTTTCGGAAAATGTGCAAGAAATGTGTGTTAAAAAGTCTCTATTGTCCCTTTTTTGAAACATACACTTCTGAGAATACAGTAAATAAGTGTAACCAATAGTTAAAGAATATTGGCTTGAAGGTGTAAAACCTTTGGCCTCCCTCCAGCCCTTTGCTGAGAGAAAGCTGGCTTCTGCCCATGGTCCCTCCCGCCAGGCTTGGTTAACTGTCACTGCCTCTCTGTCTGTCTCAACCTGCAGGGCATGGTGGAAAAATGGCTCCAGCAGGTGGAACAGATGATGCTCGCCAGTATGCAGGAAGTTATTAAACTTGGGATTGAAGCATATGTCCAGGTAAATGAAAACTGAAATACACATGCCAGGGTGTTGGTACACCAAGAAAAATTTGGGGGACAAGGTTAAATGGAAGCCTGTCTTCCACTAAAACCCATCCCTCTCCTGATAAGTAACACCTGACCCCTCTGTGCCTCTTTTTTTTTTCCTATAAATCCTGGGACAGTATATATAGTTCTGAACATGAAAGGTTTACAGTTATAAGTAGCCCATACCAGTATATCCTCTGAGCCAGAACCCTTTGATTGCTGTGGGCCAGTCCTTTCTGTGAAAATAATTGATGGCAAGAGGTTTATTTAGAGCCCCTTCCCAATTAGGCATCCCCTCCCCTAGGTTTTTCATTAACATTACACATGCCCTGTTTACTTTAAAAAATTGCATAATGTGAAAATTGCAAGTTAAGTTTTATTTGAACAACAAGAAGACTATAGTCTGGGAAACAACACTTCAGATAGCTCTGAGAAATTGCTCCATAGAGGTAGGGAGCAGGGCAATATACATGTAATTTTGGTGAAGGGGGAATACATGCAATCAAACATATTTTTTCAGGTTTCTGCTAGTCACAAGGAGCGCTCGTCACCGTGAAGGGTATTAGTGCTTTTCTAGATGTAAGGAGATGTAACAATTGAGCTAATAAAAATGGCTTCTGAAAATGTCTGTCTGAAAACCTGTGCTGCAAGTTTTTCTCAGAGCACAGAGTGCCTCATTTCTGCTCTCCACCCTGAACTCCTTTTAGGGGATGTTGAAAATCAGCAACTGCAGCAGCACATGATTTAATCCATATAGAGGTAGTTGGCAAGTGGCAATTTGTAGTTGACACTCCAAAGGGCACAACTCATTTAGCTCCCAAAACTTTAGGTGACTTGTAGAACAGAAGGCATAAGGGAAAAGAACCTGTCACAATTACTCTTAAGTTTAATGTTGGCAGACTAGATCTTTCAGTCCAGTTGCTCAGCCGTGTCCAACTCTTCACGATCCCATGGACTGCAGAATGCAGGCTTCCCTGTCCATCACCAACTCCTGGAGCTTGCTCAAATTCATGTCCATCCAGTCGGTGATGCCATCCAACCATCTCACCTTCTGTCGTCCCCTTCTCCTCCTTCCTTCAATCTCACCCAGTATCAGGGTCTTTTCTAGTGAGTCAGTTCTTCATATCAGATGGCCAAAGTGTTGGAGCTTCAACTTCAGTATCAGTCCTTCCAATGAATATTTAGGAGTGATTTCCTTCAGGATTTAGTGGTTTGATTTCCTTGCAGTCCAAGGGACTCTCAAGAGTCTTCTCTAACAGCACAGTTCAAAAGCATTAATTCTTCAGTGCTCAGCTTTCTTTATAGTCCAACTCTCATATCCATACATGACTACTGGAAAAACCATAGCTTTGACTAGATGGACCTTTGTTGGCAAAGGAATGTCTCTGCTTTTTAGATTGCATCTAGGTTGGTCATAGCTCTTCTTCCAAGGAGCCTCCCAACAGGAACCTTCTGTAAGCCTCTTATCCTTATCCATCAGAGGGCAGACAGAATGAAAACCACAATCACAGAAAACTAATCAAACGGATCACACAGAACATAGCCTTGTCTAACAATGAAACTATGAGCCATGCCATAGGGCCACCCAAGACGGATGGGTCACAGTGGAGAGTTCTGACAAAACATGGTCCACTGGAGAAGGAAATGGTAAACCACTTCATTTTTCTTGCCTTGAGAACCCCGTGAACCCTTATGGCAGAAAGCGAAGAAGAACTAAAGAGCCTCTTGATGAAAGTTGACAGAGGAGAATGAAAAAGTTGACTAGATCTTTAGTCTCCTCTATTTTAAGTGTTTCTCACTTTGAGGCCCCCACCCCTACCCCCAGGACTTTTTCCATTAAAGAAAGAAATATTCAATTAACACCTTCCCACTGATGTACCCAGGACTGACACTGTTGCCTCTCTCAGTAGTATTTGTATTGTAAATGAAAAACCAAGTCCTTTGTCCCCTGATACATTATAAATCAAAAATTAAGTTAAAGAAAAATGGCTACCTGCATGAAGTTATTTCATGCAGTTGCATCTATAGCCAGACAAGTTTTTTCTGTAAAGGGCCAGATGGCAAATGATTTTCACTCTGCAGTATACACCAGTCACAACTATTTATCCTTGCCTTTGTAGTGCAAAAGCATGCTTAGATGATAGGTTCAACAATGGCCTGACTGTGTTAACAACCTAACTTCAGACATGGCTCTCAAGCCATAACTTGCCTATCTGTGGATAATTTCTATTTATCTACAGAGAAGTTTAAAAAAGTTGGGGGATGTCATGGCTATGAAAATTGTGGGGCAGTATTGCAATATTATGTAGCTATCAAAAAGAGTAGTTATATAAATACTTTTTGAACAACACCTTGATTATAACTATGTAAACTCCCTAGATGGGAGCATTAAAAAAAAAGGAGTTATTGATTGAAAAAGATGCACATTGAAAAGAGCTCCATTTCCATAGTCCTTTCTATCTCAGCATAGGAAAAAAACTCAGCAAGAAGCAAAGTGATAGATAAAAAGTGATTTATTAGAATAAGATGCTTGTGAGGCTTACAAGTGGGTGGGCAAGAGGATACCATGCCCCAGGAACCTACAGCGCTAGTGTCATAATCAAAGAAAAAGTGGGTAAGGGAAGAATTTCTTTGTCTTTTTCAAGTAGACATTGTGCTTCCATCATGAGCTTCTCCTTCAAGTTGGGCAGGGGAGTTTTCTTGTCCCTACGTGACCAAGCTAGCCCCACAAATTGTTTTTTATGCATGCAGAGAGCATGGCCTAGGGGTCGCTAACGTACTAGTTCACTGGGAAAGATGTGGCTCTCATGCCCCCATTGTTTTATTGTTTGGGGGCCTGTCTCATGCTTCTGTTGCATGGTTTTGTTGCTAAACAAGCTGCTTCATCTTGTAGTGAAGCAAACCTGCTTTCTTGCACAGTCATTAACTTACAGGGATCTCCCATATTTATCCTACTTACAATCCCCTAGTGGGATTAACTGTTTAATCACCTACTTTGTCCCTGTACTCTATCTCTGTTACTGTGAGAGTTGTGAGCTAAGTTTTATTAGGGGCAAAATGAGGACTATAGCCAGAAGACGACATTTCAGACACCTCTGAGAAACTGCTCCAAGGAGGTAAAGGAGGGAAGGTCAGTGTATATGTGATTTTGGTGAAGGGGGAGTATGCGCAATCAAGCACATTATTTACAGAAGGTTTTTTCTAGTCTCATGAAGGTTACTGCTAATCACAAGGAGCAGATACCACCATGAAGGATTTTAGTGTTTTTCTAGATAAGAGGATTTGCAAGAATTGGGCTCATAAAATCATCTTATGAAAATATCTATCTAAAGACCTATTCTGCCAGTTTTTCCCAGAGCATAGAGTGACTTATTCCTGATCTCCACCCTGAGCTCCTTTCGGGGGTGTTGAAGGTCAGCAGCTGCTGCAGCTCCTAATTAATCCTTGTAGATGTAGATGGCAAGTGCCAATTTGTAGGTGATGGAATTAATGAAATTGTTGGTGAGGATCTTTTTCTTTTTTATAAAATTGAGGGAAGAAGACATAAATCAATAATTCCAGAAATGTTAAGACTTATATGTAACCTTTGAGGCTGGGGATGACTTTTGGTTTTGTTGAGGGGATAAGATCGTGGTGGATGTTTTAGAAAGTCAGTTTAAATCACACAAGATGAACTGACCCTGCAAACTGCCCTCCTGCACTTTCCCAGGTCCCGCGTAATCAGTGGGTCTTGCAGTGGCCTGGCCAGGTGGTTATCTGTGTCTCCTCCATCTTTTGGACCAAGGAGGTTTCCCAAGCCCTGATTGAAAAAACCCTACCGGTAAGTGAGTCTGTCATGAAGCTTATAGAGGAGATTTAAGCTAGATTATTATTTGAATGACACATAATTAGAGTGCCATTTTTCTAAATAAAAAATAAACAGGCCCTTGGTTTCACAGAGTCAGGGTTTTCTTCAGGACCCATGTCTGGAATTAGGACTATCCTCAAGTTCTGTAGTGTAGGAACTCTCACATTTCTTCCTAGATAGAAATTCTAGGCTAAATGATCTTAACTCTTATCAGCCTTTCCTTCCAAGTGCCAACCTGGCAGAATTTCTACCAACAGAGACCTCTTCATCTTTTTCCTGTGCCAAGAAGCCACCTGGCCCTGTTTTCCTCTCTTCTTCCTCCGCCATATCCCTTTTCACCACCCCCAGTCCAACACTCACCCACCTCTAGCTTTTTCTTCAGCTTTCTCTTAAAAACATGAATACTCAGGTCCTGCTTATCTTCAGATCCAGACACTCATATTTCCCCTTAACTCTGCCACTAATACCTATACTTGAGAGTTCAGGACCTAAATGGACTTGAGTTCAACTTCTGATACCTTCACTTGTTAGCTATGTGACCATGGGCAAGTTGCCTAACCTGAGTCTCAGTCTCCTTGTCTATAAAATGAAAGGAATTATACCACCGCACCTTACTACTGTTGAGGGTTAAGTGAGATGCTGGTAAGTTATTCAGTATTAAGATCATAGGTTATAAACCCCACAGGGAAAAGGCCATGTCTGGTTTGCTCATTATTATATCTCAGGGGGTTATTGCACTGCCAAGTAGTTGCTTGATAAATATTTTTTGACTGAGTAAATGGTAACCCCATTCCCAACATTTTTACCATGGTGTAATTTTCTATGATTATCACATCAGATTTCCTGTTATTCCCCCTATATATGATTATCTGGGAGCCAGAATATATTTTAATTTGCTATATTTTGCTTTATACATTAAAATTAGAACATTAGTATTTGACCAAGTTGCAATTTTTGGCAAGGGAAGCATGGGATCATGGGGGAGGGATCATGGGGGAAGTCGGGGCAGGAGCAGGGTAGTAACCAGCGCCCCAAATTCCTAGCACAATGGGGCAGGAGTCCAAAAAGCAATACACACACCCCTCTGGGCAGCCAGGCTTGCTGACCCTGGATAATAATGTCGAGGAACTGGAAGGGAGGAAAGGAGGAGCCAGAGCTTGGCCAGCAGCGGGCCATGCAGGCAGCAGATTGTCCCAGGTTGGCCAGCAGAAGAAGCAAGGCCAGGGAGCCCTCCACTCCAGGGCGTCCTCCAACCTTGGCTCTAGCCTTCTGTAGACCCCACTCCTAGCACCTCCAGCAGGGCCTCGGCTCCACCCCCCAGGCAGCACATCGACAGACACCCTCCAGCCTGTGCAGGTCTATACACTAAACATGGACGAGCAGTGGGACAACCAGGACACCAGGCATCATCCAGCTGCATGGAGTGGCTGAAGGGCATGTCCTTGCTAGTCAAGGCCTGATAAAATATGGTACCTTGGAGAAAGGAATGGCAAACCACTTCAGTATTCTTGCCTTGAGAACCCCATGAACAAAATGAAAAGGCAAAAAGATGACTCTGGAAGATAAGCAGCCCCCCTCCCCCAGGTCAGTAGGTGTCCAATATGCTACTAGGGAAGAGTGGAAAAACAACTCCATAAAAGAAGGAAGAGGCTAGGCCAAAGTAGAAATTTCATTCAATTGTGGATATGTCTGGGGGTGAAAGTAAAGTCCCATGCTATAAAGAACAATATTGCAAAGGAACCTGGAATGTTAGGTCCATGAATCAAGGTAAAGTGGATTTCGTCAAGAGGGAGATGGCAAGAGTGAACATCAATATTTCAGGAATCAGTGAACTAAAATGGATGGAAATGCATGAATTTAATTCAGATGACCTTTATATCTGTGGGAAAGAATTCCTTAGAAGAAATGGAATACCCCTTATAGTCAACAAAAAAGTCCAAATGCAGTATTTGGATGCAGTCTCAAAAATGACAGAATGACCTCAGTTCATTTCCAGCAAACCATTTAACATTATAATAATGCAAGTTTTTGCGCCAATCACTGATGCCGAAGAAGCTGAGTTAAAAAGTTCTATGAAGACCTACAAGACTAACACCAAAAAAAAAGATGTCCTTTGCATCATAGGGGACTGGAATGCAAAAGCAGGAAGTCAAGAGATACCTGGACTAACAGGCAAGTTTGACCTTGGATTACAAACTGAAGCAGGGCAAAGCTAACAGAGTTTTGCCAAGAGAACACACTGGTCATAGCAAACACTGTCTTCCAACAACACAAGAAATGACTCTACACATGGACATCACCAGATGGTCAATACCGAAATCAGATTGATTATATTCTTTGTAGCTGAAGATGGAGAAGCTCTATATAGTCAGCAAAAACACAACCAGGAGCTAATTGTGGCTTGGATCGAACTCCTTATTGCCAAATTCAGACTTAAATTGAAGAAAGTAGGGAAAACCACTAGCCATTCAGGTATAACCTAGATCAAATCCCTTACAATTATACAGTGGAGGTGACAAATAAATCAAGGAATTAGTTCTGGCAGACATAGTGCCTGAAGAACTATGGACGGAGGTTCATAACATTGTATAGGAGGTGGTGACCAAAACCATCCCCAAGAAAAAGAAATGCAANGGACATGGGACAATGAACTGGTTCAAAATTGAGAAAGGAGGATGTCAAGGCTGTATATTGTCACCCTGCTTAGTTAACTTATATGCAGAGTACATCATATGAAATCCCTGGCTAGATGACTGGAATCTAGCTGGAATCAAGATTTCCGGGTGAAATATCACCAGCCCTCAGATATGCAGATCCTACTTTAACTGCAGAAAGTGAATAGGACCTAAAAAGCCTCTTGATGAAGGTGAAAGACCAGAGTGAAAAAGCTGGCTTAAAACTCAACATTCAAAAAACTAAGATCATGACATCTGTCCCTTCTCTTCATGGCAAGTAGATAGGGAAAAAATGGAAAGAGTGACAGACTTTATTTTGGGGGGCTCCAAAATCACTGCAGACAGTGACTGTAGTCATGAAATTAAAAGACGCTTGCTTCTTGGAAGTAAAGCTATGGCAAATTAGACATAGCATATTAAAAAGCAGAGACATCACTTTGCCAGCAAAGGTCTGCATATCAAAGCTATAGTTTTTCCACTGGTCATGTACGGATGTGAGAGTTAGACCATAAAGAAGACTGAGCACCAAAGAATTGATGCTTTCAAATTATGGTGTTGGAGAAGACTCTTGAGAGTCTGTTGAACTGAAAGGAGATCAAACCAGTTAACCCTGAAGGAAATTAACCCTGAATATTCTTTGGAAGGACTGATGCTGAAGCTGAAACTCCAGTACTTTGGCCACCTAATGCAAAGAGCTAACTCATTGGAAAAGACCCTGATGTTGGGAAAGATTGAGGGCAAGAAAATAAGGGGGTGACAGAGGATGAGATGGTTGGATGGCATCACTGACTCAATGGTCATGAGTTTGAGCAAACTCAGGGAGATAGTGAAGGACAGGGAAGCCTGGTGTGCTGCAGTCCACGGGGTCACAAAAAGTCGGACATGACTGAATGACTGAACAACAAGCAGCTGTACTTTTTACAGATTCATTGTTCATAATTCCTAATAGATGTGTTACACTTTACACTTGAAAACTGCTTTCATGTACATTATTTGAAACCTTAGAAACCCTGAAAATTCTGACTTTTGCAACTGTGTGCTACAATTTCCTACCTGTAAAGAATAGAATGCTTCCCATCACACACTCAAGCTCTGGAGTACCACGCATACTGAATGATGTGCCATGGCATCCTAAAATTGTTGGTACAGAATTTCTGTCCCTCCATCTATCACCGATTCATTGTTCATTTAACAAACATTTGTTTGACATCTGCAACTGGAACTTTGCTAGGGAAAGGGAATTAGAAGTGAATCAAACAGTCATTGTCCTTGACATGGATTTACAGTCAAGTGAGAAAGATTTTTTTAAAAAGGCTCTTTTATCAAACTGTGATAAGGAAAGTACACGGATCCAGAAATCATGGAAAGGAAGGAGAAAACTAAAAGCAAGAGAGGGTAAGATGTCCCAGAAAAACAGGGTGTAAGAGGAGACATAGAATATAAATAGGGAGTAGTCAGGCACAGATCAGGATGAAGAGCATGAGAGAGAGAGAGACCAAAAATGTGCAAAAATCTGACAACGAAAAGCATGGTGCATTCCAGCAACTAAGGGTAACTTGATCCAGAATGGCTGTGTGATGTGTGTGGTTAAGAGAGATGTGGAGGACAGTTCTATCCCCAGTGGCTTGCAGACATACCAAGGGCAACAGGGATGCATCAAAAAGCCTTTTAGGGGACTTCCCTAGTGGTCCAGTGGCTAAGACTCTGCGCCTCCAATGCAGGAGGCCCAGGTTCGATCCCTGGTTAGGGACCTAGATCTTGCATGCTGCAACTAAAGATCCCACATCCTGCAACTAAAGTACCTACATGCTTCAACTAAGACCTTGTACAGCCAAACAAATAAATATTTTTTATAAGACTTTTTTTTTGCTATGTGTTAAGGATATTATAATTAATAATAACCACCACTATTTACTGGACACATTATTCATACCAGACATTGTGCCAAGTGCTTTACATTTGTTGTCATTCAGTTGCTAAGTCCTGTCCAACTCTTTGTGACCCTGTGGACTGCAGCACGCCAGGCTTCCCTGCCCTTCACAATCTTCTGGATTGTGACCATTGAGTCAGTGATGCCATTCGACCATCTCATCATCTGTCACCCTCTTCTCCTTCTACCTTCAATCTTTCCCAGCATCAGGGTCTTACTCCTCAAAATCACTTGAAGAATAGCTTTAATTATCTAGATGTGACAGATGAGGAGACTGAGGCACAGAGGGTTAAAATAATTTGCCCAGAAGCACATAACAAAAAAGTAAGGAAGGTGAGATGAGCGTAGGGTGGTCTCATATGTTCTCCATTCATTTTTATTGTTTAATTTTTTTTGAAATAATGTCAGACCGGCAAATAATGCTGCAAAAATAATATGAAGAATTCCCATACACCCTTCATCCAGGTGTATTAACATACTAACATCTTACATAACCACAGTACAATATCCAACAACCTTGATACAATATTATTATTTAACCTTTTAAACTCATCTTTTTGTCTGGTTTAGGATCCAATCCAGAATTACATTAAGTTTTCATGTTTCCTTTGTCTAATCTAAAAGAGTTTCAGTTATTTTTGTTAATTCTGGCTTACTGCCTAATTTATACATATTGTAAAATTCATCCTTTTTACTGTGTATTTCTGAGTTTTGACAAACACATACATTTGTGTAGCCATCATCACAGTCAAGATACAGAACAGTTCCACACATCCTAAAAATTTTCCTCCTGCCTGTGGTCACTATTCTCAGCCTTCGGCAAGTACCCTTCTGTCTTATGCCCCTATAGTTTTATCTTTTCCACAACTTTATAAAATTAAAACCATACAGTATCTAGACTTTCAAATCTGACTTCTTTCAGTTAGCATTATGCTTTTGAAATTTGTCTGGAAGTTAATGACTGGGGCTGAGGGAAAGGGAGATTGAGGGATGACATCTAGGAGTCTGGTTTGGACCATGGAGTGTGGATGGTGTCATTCCAGAAAAGGGATTACCAGGAGAATACAACTTAACATGTTCCCTCCTATGCCCTTGCCAGGATTTTCTGAAGAAGAGCAATGATCAGATTGCACAGATTGTTCAGCTGGTGCGAGGGAAGCTGAGCAGTGGAGCTCGACTCACCCTCGGGGCTCTCACAGTCATTGATGTCCACGGTAAGCAAGGAGGTTTCCCTAGCATTAGTGACTGTATAGTAATAGCTGCCAAGCTTGCCTCTCTCCCTCCTTGATGGGGTGATTCAGGTTCCTTTTTTCATTAGGGAAAGGCTTCTCCAACTGAGAATAAATGAGGGGGTAAGGAAGAGAAATCAGTGCTTCTGTGTATCTCTATCTTATGTTTTCCCTCCCATCCCCAACCTTATTTCCAAGAACCTCACCACCAGCACCAAACAGTGCTCTGAGAAAGTGATGGCCACAGCCATTTCTGAGACTTACCAACTCGAAGCAATTTCCTTCTACTGATCTTAACTAATAATTTTTTGTCAAGCTTTGTGCTAACTGCGTGACCTACATTGTCTCATTTTTATATACATTTCAGACATTAAGAGCCTGTAGTTTATAGGGGCAAATATCTTGCTGAGAGGCACCCAGCTAGTAAGTAGCAGCGGCTCTTTTGTAATTTGAAGCTGTGTCTGATTCCAAACCCAAAGACTGGAAAATGGGCAGTGATGCAGGGAGAGAATGGGTAAGAGAAGATGCATTCCAACTCTTCCTGAGAAAGAGAAAGAGGGAAGGAGGAAAGGAGGAGGAAGAACTGGAGTCTTTATATAAAACAAACCACCCCCACACCCTCATACCATTATCACCAAGGAAACTAGGGCTGAACCAAACTGGTTGCCTGGTAACAGTGTCCCTTTTGCTCACACACCCAGCTTCCTACTGGCATTTCATGCATCTTACTCTCCATAAAGTTGATGCTCATTTCTTTTCCTTTTTTTCTTTTCTTTCGGCCACATGGCTTGTGGGATCTCAGTTCCTTGACCAGGGATTGAACCCAGGCCACGGCAGTGAAAGTCTGGAATCTTAACCACTAAAGGCACCCAGGAGCTCCCTGATGCTCATTTCAATCTGATTTCATTTGGATAGACTAGCATAAAATATGGAGGAGAGAGGGAGAAGGTGCTCTTCATCTGGCTATGTATTTAACTTGTAGGAGTAATAAGTGAAGGCATGATTACTGCCCAGGATGCCTCAGAGTGGTTGAGTTTACACACATGCACCCACATACACATTCATGTGTGAACACATGAACATACACTGCCTTGGAAAGGCATCCCCAACCTTGAGATTCAACTTGCTCTTGGATCTCTCATACTCACCTGTTTTCTGGGTCCTCCCAGGGACCTGGATTGGAATTAAATTCCTCAGGAAGAATGAAGGAGTGTAATTTTGGTGTAATCTTCTGCAAGGACTCTTCAGGATTTTGGATTTTACTGTAATAAAGATTTATCTCACAGGGAGGGAGTAGACTTACAGAAGTGTCCCTTTGCAGAGTTCTATTTCTGAGATCCTGATTTCAAGCACTATATTAGTTCTGAGGTTGAAATAACAGTTGCCTTGTGAATTACCTAAAAAAATAATGATTCTCATAAACTATGTCCACTCATCAACTACAGGGCCCCCATCACTGTGAAAATATTAAATTAAGCTCACAATTCTATTACAGAAAGGATAAAAGCTAGAAATATATCTCTTACTTAGTTTCTCAACACCTTACTTCCATGAAAAGACTACACCTAACATGGGTTCATGAGATCCCTTCGCTTGCTAAGTATATCAGACCAGGCTAATTGTATTCTCCTAGGATATCCTAGATGACTGGAACAGGGCTAGAAAGATGGCACTGATGATGAGATAGCATTTGTGGTAACTACATATTGCAAAGCACTCTGGGTCACTTTCCCAAGAGTTTGGGAATGATAACAGTAGTTAATATTGGGTTGACCAAAGATTTGTATATTATTTTCCATAAGATACCTCTAGTAGCAAGTAGTTGTCTTGAACTTCATTTGAAACATTTTTCTTAGATTGTATTGTCACAGCTGTCATATAAGTTCAGTTCAGTTCCATTGCTCAGTCGTGTCTGACTCATTGTGACCCCAAGTATTGCAGCATGCCAGGCCTCCCTCTCCATCGCCAACACCCAGAGCTTACTCAAACTCATGTCCATCGAGTCTGTGATGCCATCCAACCATCTCATCCTCTGTCATCCCCTTCTCCTCCCACCTTCAATCTTCCCCAGAATCAGGGTCTTTTCAAATGAGTCAGTTCTTTGCATCAGGTGGTCAAAATATTGTAGTTTCAGCTTCAGCATCAGTCCTTTCAATGAATATTCAGAAGTGATTTCCTTTAGGATGGACTGGTTGGATCTCCTTGAAGTCCAAGGGANGGAACCAGTCTGTTGTTCCATGTCCAGTTCTAACTGTTGCTTCTTAACCTGCATACAGGTTTCTCAGGAGGCAGGTAAGATATTCTGGTATTCCCATCTCTTTAAGAATTTTCCACAGTTTATTGTGATCCACATAGTCGAAGGCTTTGGCATCATCAATAAAGCAGAAGCAGATGTTTTTCTTTAACTCTTTTGCATTTTAGATGATCCAATGGATGTTGGCAATTTGACTCTAGTTCCTCTTCCTTTTCTAAATCCACCTTGAACATTTGGAAGTTCATAGTTCACGTACTGTTGAAGCCTGGCTTGGAGAATTTTGAGCATTACTTTGCTAGCGTGTGAGATGAGTGCAACTGTGCAGCAGTTTGAACATTCTTTGGCATTGCCCTTCTTTGGGATTGGAATGAAAACTGACCTTTTCCAGTCCTGTGGCCACTACTGAGTTTTCCAAATTTGCTGGCACCCAATAGGGTGCAGCACTTTCACAGCATCATCTTTTAGGATTTGAAATAACTCAACTAGAATTCCTTCAGCTCCCCTAGCTTTGTTCATCATGATGCTTCCTAAGGTCCACTTGACTTTGCATTCCAGAATGTCTGACTCTACGTGAGTGATCACACCATAGTGGTTTTTTGTATAGTTCTTCTGTGTATTCTTGCCACCTCTTCATATCAGCATGCATTTAAAAAAACTTACCAATTTGGTGAATCTGTGTTGTTGTTTTTCAATCACTCAGTCGTGTCTGACTCTCTGTGACCCCACGGACTACAGCACGTCAGGCCTCCCTGTCCTTCACCATCTCCTGGAGCTTACTCAAACTCATGTCCATTGAGTTGGTGATGTCATCCAACCATCTCATCCTCTGTCATCCCCTTGTCCTCCTGCCTTCAATCTTTCCCAGCATCACGGTCATTTCTAATGAGTTGGCTCTTCTCATCAGGTAGCCAAAGTATTGGAGCTTTTGCTTCAATACATCAGTCCTTCCAATGAATATTCAAGACTGATTTCCTTTAGGATTGACAGGTTGGATCTCCTTGCAGTCCAAGGAACTCTCAGGAGTCTTCTCCAGAACCACAGTCCAAAAACATCATTTTTTTGGCACTCAGCCTTCTTTATGGCCCAGCTCTCACATCCATACATGACTGCTGGAAAAACCATAGCTTTCACTGTTACAAACTCTTGTCAGCAAAATAATGTTTCTGCTTTTTAATATGCTGTCTAGGTTTGTCATAGCTTTTCATCCAAAGAGCAAGCGTCTTTTAATTTCATGGCTGCAGTCACCATCTGCAGTGATTTTGGAGCCAAGAAAGTAAAATCTGTCACTGTTTCCATTGTTTCCCCTTCTATTTGCCATGAAGTGAAGGGGAATTTCTGCATAGCCATTTTAATATTGAAGATGGAAGAAAAAGCAACATTTTCAGCATATGCTGCTTTACTAACTCAAGAAAGGTAAAAACACAACTGAAATGCAAAACAAAAAAAGAAAAAAGGTTTGTGCAGTGTATGGAGAAGGTGCTGTGACTGACTGTATGTGTCATAGTCGTTTGTGAAATTTAATGCTAGAGATTTCTTGCTTGATGATGCTCCGTGGTTGGGTAGACCTGCTGAAGTTGAGAGTGATCAAATCAAGACATTAATTGAGTACAATCAACATTATACCCAGCAGGAGATAGCTGACATATGCAAATATCCAAATCAAGCATTGAAAATCATTTGTCCCAGCTTGGTTGTGATAATCACTTTGATATTTGGGTTCCACATAAGTTAAGCAAAAAAACCTCCTTGACCATATTCCCCAGCGATTCTCTTAAATGTATAGAAAATGTTTCATTTTTAAAACAAATTGTGACAGGCAATGAAAAGTGGTACTGTACAATAATGTGGTATGGAAGAGATCATAGGGCAAGTGAAATGAACTATCACCAATCACACCAAAGGCCAGTTTTCGTCCAAAGGTGTGATGTTGTGTATATTGTGGGATTGGAAAGGAGTCCTCTATTATGAGTTTCTTCCAAAAAACTAAACAATTTATTCCAACAAATACTCCCAATTAGACCAGCTGAAAGCAGCCCTTGACAAAGAGCATCCAGAATCAGTCAGCAGAAAAAAACATATAACCTTTCATCAGGATGATGCAAGCCCACATGTTTCTTCAATGACCAAGCAAAGCTGGTCAAAAACTGGTCATCAAACTGAAAGATCTGATTTGTCTGCCATATTCACCAGACATTGCACCCTCAAATGTCCATTTATTTCAGTCTTTACAAAATTCTCTTAATGGAAAAAATTTTGATTCCCTGGAAGACTAAAAGCCACCTGAAACAACTTTTTGCTCAAAAAGATAAAAATTTAAGGGAAGATGGAATTATGAAGTTGCCTGAAGATTTACAGAAGGTAGTGGAACAAAATGATGAATATGTTGTTCAATAAAGTTCTTGGTGAAAATGAAAAAAAAAAACTGTCTTTTTTTTTTTTTAACTTTAAAACTGAAGGAACTTTTTGGCCAAGCCAATACTATAAATTTATATAGTATATAAATAAAGATGTTGCTTGAAGTTTAGAGATGGGCAGAGAGGGTAGTTGAACCTAAAATTGTTGAGATAGAGTGGTCTTGATGACATCCTCGACCCTTCCTAGGAATCCGCGAAGATAGGAGGATGCCAGTGACTCTGCACATGTGTTTCCATGTCTGTGTCCCCACAGCTCGTGATGTGGTAGCCAAGTTATCTGAGGACAACGTCTGTGATCTGAATGATTTCCAGTGGATCTCCCAACTGCGCTATTACTGGGACTCCAAGGATGTACAGGTGCAGATGATTACTACAGAAGCCTTGTACGGCTATGAGTACCTGGGAAACTCCCCCCGGCTGGTGATCACACCCCTCACTGACCGCTGCTACAGGTAAACTCTGGGCCTCCCCAGACCTGAAGGGTCAATAGAGAATTCCAAAAGGAAAATCTGAGAAAGAAGTTTGGAGCCACTTAAATTTGCTACCTCTACCTTCTGTATTCTAGAGCCTCAGATTTTAGAATTTTTACCTTAGTCAGTGGTCTCACAGATGGGCATTTTAGGCCTTAGGAATAAATAAAGCAAAGTATTGTGTTCAAACCAACAATTAGAACGTTGATGCCTATCCTTGAAAATGGCACAGTGCTTAAGAAAGAAAGCTCTCCAATGGCAGAAATCAAAAAGGTGCTAGGAGATCCTATGGCCAAGAGATAGAAAAGGAGCCAGGTAAAGGACCCAGGCAAGGAGTCTCTGAGCTCTGCCACCCAGTCTGATGAAGAGATTGGGCCATTCTGTGCTCAGCAAATTGCTTTGCCACTTTCCTTGGAATTCATAGCTTTAGAAACTTGGACTTTGTGAATTTGTCAGTTTTGTGATATTTAGATTTTTCTTTGATTTTATATATTATTAGAGTGCAACTTTTGAATTATAAAGGTAGTACTTGAGTATTTTTTTTCTTTCAAAGTCCTCAATCACTTGTTTTCTATGTTCTATGACTTCCTCAATCATTTGTCTATTCTACTCACTATTCAACAACCATTTCTTGAACTTTACTGTGCATGATGTGTGACCTCCAGGAATCCTCAATCTAATGGGGTAGGGGAGAGAGAGACATTCAGGTGATTATAAGAAAGTGTGTTAACTGAAATTATAGAGGCTCATACATAGGGCTGTGGAACCACAGTTGACATATCATTGATTTCTAATATTTATCTTGTGCCTCCCAAATGGAACTGAACAATGGGTTCTGAACACAAGAGTTCATAATGTAGTGGGAGAAATATATTTATTTTTCATTATTCCATTAGCATTGGTGATCTTTGGAATGCAGAGGGTTTTTCACTTTCATTTGACTCATTTAGTATTAGTTCCGTTCAGTCGCTCAGTCATGTCCAACTCTCTGCAACCCCATGGACTGCAGCACACCAGGCCTCCCTGTCCATCACCAACTCCCAGAGCTTACTTAAACTCATGTTCATCCAGTCAGTGATGCCATCCAACCATGTCATCCTCTGTCATTCCCTTCTCCTCTGCCTTCAATCTTTCCCAGCATCAGGGTCTTTCCTAGTGAGTCAGTTCTTCACATCAGGTGGCCAAAATATTGTAGTTTCAGCTTCAGCATCAGTCCTTCCAAAGAAAATTCAGAACTGATTTCCTTTAGGATGGACTGGTTGGATCCCCTTGCTGTTCAAGGGACTCTCAAGAGTCTTCTCCAGAACCACAGTTCAAAGGGATCAATTCTTTGGCACTCAGCTTTCTTTATAGTCCAACTCTCACATTCATACATGACTACTGGAAAAACCATAGCTTTGACTAGATGGACCTTTGTTGACAAAGTAATGTCTCTCCTTTTAATATGCTGTCTAGTTTGTCATTTAGTATGTATATATTCATTTATCCATTCAATCATTCATTCAAACAAATGCTTATAGGTGCCACCCGTATACCAGGCACCAAGGTTACAACACTGAGAAAAATAGAATTTTTTATGATGATGATGTATTGCCCATATAATCAGGGAAAATCATGTTTAATTATTTGATTCAAAACAAAATAAACCAAAAGCCAGTTTATTTCTTGTACCTTAGGACATGACATTGAGTTCTTATTTTCTTCCCCTTAGGACGCTGATGGGGGCTTTGAAGCTGAACCTTGGAGGAGCCCCAGAGGGTCCAGCTGGGACAGGCAAGACAGAAACCACCAAAGATCTGGCCAAAGCTTTGGCCAAGCAGGTAGGGAAATGCTGTCCATCCTTACACTCTTTTCCTGTCCCTCTCTGGAGCTGTATCCAGGGAAGTTGGCATGAAGTTCAAGATGGCTTAGAGTACCAGGCAGAGTGGGGCCCCAGCTCCTCCAGTAGAATGAGAAGAGGGGAGCCCCACCTCTGTTTCAAGGTGCAGGATGATTCAGATGGGAAGAAACCCATCCTAAATGGATCCAACATCCTCTCTCTCTCTAGTGTGTGGTCTTCAACTGCTCTGATGGTCTGGATTACAAAGCCATGGGGAAGTTTTTCAAAGGACTAGCCCAGGCTGGAGCATGGGCCTGCTTTGATGAGTTCAACAGGATTGAGGTAACCCTACTACTAGGCTGCTGAATAAAGGGTTTGGACATGCAGGGGCTTTTTTTCTGGGCTCTCAGTTCCTCAGTGACAGGGCTTATGTCTCCTCTATGGCCCCTTGCACAAAGTAAGTACTCCATGAACCAAACAAAAACAGCCCTAAGGAGACAAAATGCCTAGGGTATACATAAGCATTCTCACCAAATTCATTCACTCACTTGCTCATTCAAAAATTTATTGAGCAACTACCCTACATCAGATATTGTTTATGTGTTCATAATACAGAGATGAGCAAGAAACAGTTTTGCCCTCTAGACTGTTACAGTTCAGCAAGGGAGATGAAAATTAAATGATACAAGTAGAATATGAGAGAAGTCTGTACCAGTGGTACAAAGGAGTCATCACAAATGAATGAGTGGTTAATTCTATTTGGTAGCTGTTGAGATTAGGGAATGTAAACATGCAATTTGAACCAATAAACACCATACATGCATACTATGGGTGAAGTATTATGTTAGGTACAGGAACAAAGATAAAATACTACGGAAACTACTTACATACACACAAACACACACGCATACACACACACATGCATGCATATACACACCCGTTTTCTGTTCTTTTCCCAAAACTCTAAATCATGCTCCTGACTTTGAATGCGAAGGTCTTATTCTCAGGTGGTGGGGTTCTTTCTTCACTAGGTGAAAGATACTGTGGCAGAGTGGGGTGGGTGGCCATCAGAAGCAAGAGCTCAAATCAACCAGCCATTCTCACTCCAGGTAGAAGTACTGTCTGTGGTAGCCCAACAGATTCTCAGCATTCAACAAGCCATTATCCGGAAGCTAAAGACATTCATCTTTGAAGGCACTGAGCTCTCTCTAAACCCAACTTGTGCCGTGTTCATCACCATGAACCCTGGGTATGCTGGCAGGGCTGAGCTACCAGATAACCTCAAGGTAAACATCAGAGTGGGAAATACTGGGTGTACTTTATCATATAGAAACCTTTGGAAGTATCCAGGCATCTCACAGAGAAGCCAAAGAGTAGACCATGTGACATTTTTCAACTATGAGAAGTGAAGATGTTACTTGACTTCAGAACTCAAATCATTTCCCCAACTCTATCTTTCATGAGGTGGGAGAAAATATATACCATAATAACCAATGGCAAAGAGGAAACAATGAACACTGGAATAAGTGTCACTATTTCTGTTGTCTACAAGGGTCAGACAGTTCATATAAATGAGAAAAGCCAAATAGGCCTGATAGAGACTCTGACAGATATCCCACCTAGAGGCAGCAGGCCCTACTTATCCCCAGCCTACTCTGGCCAAGCAGGAATTGTGGGACCTTCTCACTTTTCAGGAAAAAACAGAAATTTGGATTGTTACATAAAATCTTATTTTTAGATGCTGGCTTAATGCAAAAACTGAAATCATCTTAGGCAAAATAAAATCATTGTAGACCAAATAAAACAGATCAGCATATAAGACAGCATCAGAGTTCAACACAGAGTATGCTGGCAAACCAAGACTAGAGCACATGGAGCTCAGCTAGTTAGGCCCAAGTGGCGTCCACACCAAAGCAGGATGTTCCAACCAGCTAGAGAGATAACACGAGAGAGAGTATGTCCTCGAGACCTACTGCTGAATTGGCCTGAGCTACAACCATGGCAGTAAGCATTGGCCCTGCTGCTGTGAGAAAAGAAAAGTGCCTCTGAAGTAGGGAAGAGAGAATGCCAGCCAGGCCATCTTCAAGGGGACAGGCACTAAATGACCTTAGCATGCTGCTCTCATAAATGAAAAAAACCCAAATTGCAAAGTGACTGGGTCTCCACCTTTGGAGTATATAGCACCCCAACTACATGAAGAAGGGGAGACTTAAAGACCCACTTCTTTATGGATTTTCTTTTAAATTATTGCTTCTTTCCTTCAAGTGAAAGATGCAAGAGAGACCTGGACAAAACCCATATTCACATTAGCATATGATGCTCCATCTGCTGGAAATGCATTCTGATTGGTTCCTGGAATCTAATTCAAACATACCACTCCTCCTCCTCCCTGGGAATAGAAAAGAAGTCAAGGAAATGCGTAAGAGTGATCCTCCTCTCTAGGTCAACATAGACCAGTGGACACCAAAGTAGAATTTCAAACCACATTTCTCATTTTATAATGCACAATTGTTGTAAGTCCCTCCTACATCCCTCTCAGCTAACAACCATGCTAGATCTGCATAAACAACATTCATGAGACAGTTTGAGCTAGTAGAAAGCACTCAGGGTTGGTGTTAGGAAGTCTGGATTCTAGTCTTAGCTCTACCTCTAACTGAATGACTTAGGCAAGTCTCTTCTCCTCTAAGATCTAAGTTACAAAGTCGCTTCAGTCATGTCCAACTCTTTGTGACCCTGTGGGCTGTAGCCCACTAGGCTCCTCTGTCCATGGGATTCTCCAGGCAAGAATACTGGAATGGGTTGCCATGCCCTCCTCCAGGGAATCTTCCCCACCTGGGGATCAAACCCATGTCTCTTATGTCCCCTGCATTGGCAGGTGGGTTCTTTAACACTAGCGCCACCTGAAAAGCCCCATTAATAACAATACCCAATATTTACTGAGCCCTTACTATGTGCTACACACCTTTTTAAGCACTTCACTTATATAATATTATTTGTCTCATAATAACTATGAAGAGGGCATAGTTGTTAGACCATTTTGAGGTGAAAGACCTGAGGTCTAGAGGGGTCACCTAACTTACCCACAGTTGGTGTGTAGCAGAACAAGGACTTGATTTTTTAAGTCAGGATCTAACTTCAGGATTCTTCTGATATGTAATTTTCCTGCATCCCTGGATGACTTCTGCTGTCTACATTGAATACCAGCAAGCTCCAATATTCTGGAAATAGCCAAGATTCTCAAGAAAGAGCTCTCCACTCCCTTTATATATACCTGGACTACTGTTAAAGAAGACTCACTCATTTCTTCTCTGTCCCTCACTGACTGTTAACACACACACACACACACACACACACACACACACACACACTCCTAAATGACTGAAAGACATGAAATTATTTCAAGATTGAGTTGTTATTGACCAAGATTGAAGAGGAAAAATTAATATAATTTAGAATTAACTTTGTTGTCAATATAATATTTATTTACTCCAATCAACTTGATTATCTCTCATTCAAGTATTATCCAGTTTTCTGAGATGCAGGCATACACAAGTATCAGTGTCTTTTTCACATATAACCAGAATTGTGAATATTCACTGTAAAATGGCTTTTATTGATCTATTTCAAATTTTACACTTGTCTTTTCACATTGCTTGGTCATAATCAATTGATTTTTTTGTTACCACAGATATCTCCACAAGGCCCAAAGTGTCTTTGTGGTCTGGAGGTCATTGCTCTTAATGCATGGGGCTATAGATGTTCTCAACGGAGTGTGTCATCCTTCCTAGGCTAAGAAGCTGCCTCGGTCATAAGAGGTTTAATTTATTGTCTTCTATAGGAGACTTGGCTTACATTGATTTGCCTGTTCAATTCATTTATTTAATTGGCAAACCTTCATTGAGCCACCTATCTTATGCCCTGCCCAGTCCTAGGTGCTAGTGAGCAACACAATCTTTGCTTTAAAAGTAAATCAGTCTTGTTAGACAGGAGTCCTGCAAGGAAAACATGCATTAGTACATTAGTTACGGTAAACCTGACCTCCAAATTCCAATGGCTTAGCATAGTAAAAGTTTTATTTTTCACTCCCTGGAAATCCAGAATGGGTGTCTGTGATCAGGGGAGTTCTTCCCCAAGGAACCCAGGTAACTTATATCTCACAGCTATAACACATGAGCATGGAGGAGCTTATGGAGGAGGTTTTTATGGACCAGCCCTCAAAGTGGCATACTTCCACTTCATTCATATGCCACTGGCTAGGAGTCAGTGATGTGGCCACCCCTGTGGGGAAGGCTGGGAAATGTGATCCCCTATGCCTTGTAGCTCAGTCAATAAAGAATCTGCCTGCAGCACAGGAGACCCAGGTTCGATCCCTGGGTTGGGAAGATCCCCTGGAGAAGGAAATGGCAACCCACTCCAGTATCCTTGCCTGGAAAATCTCATGGACAGAGGAGCCTGGTGGGCTACAGTCCATGGCGTCGCAAAGAGTCAGGCACAACTGAACGACTAACACACCCAACATACACACACATGCGCTCAGGAAGAATAAGATATGGTAGTGCACATGAGCATACATGTATTATGTGCTGAGTATATTAATTTTTGAGTTGGTTTTCTTAAATTAAAAGATGGATATTGAAAAAAATTGTCATGTTACAGAAGTGCAAAATTGAGTGTCCCCATTGTGTCCCTTAGTAGTCCCACTCTACAGGCACTAACATTGTTAATCATTCAATGTAATCTTCCCAAATGTGTATATGTGTGGCATACACATACACTCATATGTACGGAAAAAAGTATAAACACAATTTCTTATACAGTACATATTAGTTATGTATGTGCTTGCTATTTTTCATCCTACCTTTGGAAGAGAGTTATAGTGCTTCCTTAGCTCATTATGGTAACTCTATAAAGAAATCTTCAAATGATAAGATTTTTCCATCATGTTCATGGGCAAGCCTGGCTTCTGAAGGGACAGGGCACAACATGTTGGGAATGTCTGCTGAGCAGGACATGGTCCTTACTGGAGGGTCTGCAGACATGTCTTTGCCCTCCCAGTCTTGCTCAGAAGATTGTTGCAACCTACCGCCTGTGTTCAGAGCAACTCTCCTCCCAGCATCACTATGACTATGGCATGCGTGCTGTCAAGTCTGTGCTCACTGCTGCTGGCAACCTGAAACTCAAGTATCCAGAGGAGAATGAGAGTGTCTTGCTGCTCCGAGCTTTGCTTGATGTCAACCTGGCCAAGTTCTTGGCTCAAGATGTCCCTCTCTTTCAGGTATGCAATGGTTTGGGACCTTGGCTAAGCAATGAGATTCTACTTCCCAAGATGAAAATAATTTTCTTCCACTCCTTACACCCTTTCCATTCTCTGGCCAGCATCCCTATTGCCAGATACCCTCCCCCAAATATTAAGTAATAATGGTAATAGCAATATCCCTAATTCTTGATTTTTAATAAAAGTTTCACTGATAGGATAATATTTGCTGTTGAGGGTGAGTAGTTAGTTGTTTATATCAAATATAATTAGTTTTGTAACTATTTTAACACCTATCTTCCTTACTAGACTGTAAGCTCTTAAAGACAGAAATCATGGCTATTTTGTTCATTCCTAGTGTAATGACTGAAATAGCACAGACATTAGCTATTTGTTGACTTTTTAAATTATTGGGAAGAAACATCATGTTTAACAAATATTGTCGGAATTTGTAATTATGGATAAGGTACATGATTTTGGTACAGGAAAACTGAGGTTTGCAATTTCCAAGGATTCTTGCTATTTGTAGATTTCATTTTTAAAAAATGTTGAGGTTATATATCTGATAATTCATCCTTTCACATCTTGAATTTCTGTTAACAGGGAATTATATCAGATTTGTTTCCTGGAGTCATTCTTCCACAGCCAGACTATGAAGTTTTTATGGAAGTACTAAATGCGAACATCAAAAAGATGAAACTTCAGCCAGTACCTTGGTTTATTGGGAAAATTATCCAGGTTGGTTTCATGTACCTATGTGGAAATGTACCTGTTTATTGTTTGCTGAGGTCAGAAATCAGAAAGAACTATGATAGATTGGAACTGAACTGATTGTAATTGGAAATGCCTCATTAGAGCTTGAGGTAGAAATGAAGACACTTAATAATCCATTGTGCCTTCAATTTTCATTTCCAGGAGTTGATATTTAAAATCCAATATTTTTCCTATCACTATCTTCCCTGGGGTTTCTTTTTTTTTAATTTGGGGATGAAATAGAACCTTTCGGGGCATTGTGCTTTGAATTAGTCAAGGCTTTTTTGGTTCCCAGTGATAGAATGTGAGCATGAAAGTCGCTCACTTGTGTCTGACTCTTTGCAGCCCCATGGACTATACAGTCCACGGAATTCTCCACGCCAGAATACTGGAGTGGGTAGCCTTTCACTTCTCCAGGGGATCTTCCAAACCCAGGGATTGAACCCAGGTCTCCCACATTGCAGGCAGATTCTTTACCAGCTGAGCCACAAGGGAAGCCCAAGGAAACTGGAGTGGGTAGCCTATCCCTTTTCCAGGGGAACTTCCCAACCCAGGAATCAAACCAGGGTCTCCTGCATTGCAGGCAGATTCTTTACCAACTGAGCTATGAGGGAAGCACCTTCCCAATGATAGGAATTCAATTTAAACTGTCTTAGTCAATAAAAGGGAATTTACCCAGCTAACTTGAAAAGTCCAGAAATATATTGGCCTCAGGCATAGTGGGATACAGATTTTATTTAGATAATGTCATCAGGAATCCACCTCTCTTCATTTCTGGATTCTGCTTCTCTCTGCATGAAAAACTCATTCTCAGTTAGGCCCCCGATAACCTCAGACTTAAATTGTCTCATGTTCAAGTCCAAAAGGAAAAAGAACATCACTCTCAGCATGTCCTCAGCAAAAAGTCTCAAGATTAGCTTTGAATGGTGTTGATAAAGTCACAGGACCATCCCTGAACCAATTATAAAGATAAGAAGGAGACAATAAAACCCCACCTCTGCCAGAAGTGGAGATGGAGTCAGGAGTCAGAGCTACCCAAGTCAAGTCATGTGGACTGAAACATAAAGTGGTGGTTCCTCAGGGAAAATCAAGGTGCTGTTATTAATACATGAAAGAAACATCTCTACAGTCTCAATCCTAGAGAACCTTAGTGAAACTTCACCTAATTTCAGGTTTCCTTCCCTATGATCGCTTTCTATGTAAAACTACCTTAAAGACATAAACTGAATAATGTAAGTCTCAAATGCACTTTTTCTGCAGAATCATAGGACAGCATTACAAGGGACTTTAAATGCCATCTGGTGTTTGGCCCCATAAGAACACTGGCATCCAGAGAGGGAACAGATTTGGATTCATATAGACCTAGTTTCAAATCTCACCCCCTTCCGTTTTTTGCTGTGAGATTTTAGGCAAGTTAGTTCACCATTCTGAACCCATTTCCTCATCTATAAAATAAAGACAGTAAAACCTTTCTCATAGAGTAATATTGAGACAAGAAATATGTAAATTGCCAGATATAGTGCCTGATTACTGTATCATTGTCAACCCCGCCATCTCCACAGACACGTGAAGCATCATCATTTCACAAAATCATGTTATTTAGACTCAAAGATCAAGGTTAGGACCCAGGTCTCCAGATTCCAAATCAGAATAAAATTTCTAGGAATAAAAATTTTTCCCAGGGCTTCCTTGGTGGCTCAGTGGTAAAGAATCCACCTGTCAATGCAGGAGATACAGATTCAATCCCTGATCCAGGAAGATCCCACACTCTGCAGAGCAGTTAAGCCCATGAACAGTAACTATTGAGCCTGTGTTCTAGGACCCGGGAGCCAAAACTTCTGAGCCCATGTGCCGCAACTACTGAAGCCCACAAGCTCTAGAGCCTATGCTCCTCAATAACAAAAGTCATTGCAATTTGCAGCCCGCACACCACAACTAGAGAGTAGCCCCTGCTTGCCACAACTAGAGAAAAGCCCATGCAGCAACAAAGAAGCACAGCCAAAAATAAATTAATTAATTTTTTTAAATTACTAAAAAAATTATCTTTAAGAATAATGTTTTCCCCTACTATGTCATCAAGTGTGGTAGTTTTGACACCATTCATTTAACCCAATATTGAATCCCAAATATTCACTGGGATTTTATAGATGCACTATATATCAGTTCAGTTCAGTGAGTTCAGTCACTCAGCTGTGTCCAACTCTTTGCAAACCCATGGACTGCAGCACTTCAGGCTTCCCTGTCCATCATCAACTCCTGGAGCTCACTCAAACTCATGTCCCTCAAATCGGTGATGCCATCCAACCATCTACCCCCCATCGTCCCCTTCGGCTCCTGCCTTCTATCATCAGGGTCTTTTCAAATGAGTCAGTTCTTTGCAACAGGTGGCCAAAGTATTGGAGTTTCAGCTTCAGCATCAATACTTCCAGTGAATATTCAGGACTGATTTCTTTAGGATGGATGGTTGGATCTCCCTGAAGTCCAAGGGACTCTCAAGAGTCTTCTCCAACACCACAGTTCCAAAGCATCAATTCTTTGGCGCTCAGCTTTCTTTATAGTCCAATTCTCACATCAATACATGACTACTGGAAAAACCATAGCTGTGACTAGACAGACCTTTGCCAGCAAAGTACTGTCTTTATTTTTTAATATGCTGTGTAAGTTTGTCATAACTTTTCTTCCAACGAGCAAGCATCTTTTAATTTCATGGCTGCAGTCACCATCTGCAGTGATATTAAACCCAAGAAAATAAGGTCTGTCACTGTTTCTATTGTTTCCCCATCTGTTTGCCTTGAAGTGATGGGACCAGATGCCATGATCTTCATTTTTTGAATGCTGAGTTTTAAGTCAGCTTTTTCACTCTCCTCTTTGACTTTATATTATCAAGAGACTGTTAAGTTCTTCTTCGCTTTCTGCCATAAGGATGGTGTCATCTGCATATTTGAGGTTATTGATATTTCTCCTGGAAATCTTGATTCCAGCTTGTGCTTCATCAAGCTTGACATTTCACATTGTGTACTCTGCATAGAAGTTAAATAAGCAGGCTGACAATGTACAGTCTTGAGCTACTCCCTTTTCAATTTTGATCCAGTCCTTCGCTCAGTGTTAGGTTCTAGCTATTGTTTCTTGACATGCATACAGATTTCTCAGGAGGCAGATAAGATGGTCTAGTACTCTCATCTCTTTAAGAATTTTCTACAGTTTGTTGTGACCCACACAGTCAAAGGCTTTGGCATA